TCAGATTTTATGAGCGCCAGTAGTTTATATAAATAGTTTTTTGACTTCAGTACCAAGGGTTATTTTAAGTGTAGATAAAGACTGCTCTTTAGACTAGATTTTAGATTCATCAGTTGTTTTCGCTGAGCATAATAACAACGGATGACGCGTTGCAGTATGTTAATAAGCAAATGACCTTTGTGAAAATTCCTAGTTGGACAAAGGGCCATCGTACTTCATCATGCATATAATCTGTAAAGAGCACCGGCTCTTAGATAATCGTTATAACGAGTAGGACCAGCGAAACAAAAAATGCGCGATGCATGTGACACTACATGTGCTCAAATATCATTGAACAGCGGCCAGCTTCAGTGGCCACCTAGATGCAAGAAGACAGCGTAGTACGCCGTGAAACTTAGTTCTGCTTGAATTATTCGCTTAACATACTGCAGCTGCAAAACATACGTTGAAAGGTATAAATTAACATTTGTGTTATCGTTTGTGCAAGTGATGAGGCATAGCTTTTGTTCCATATTGTTTTGAGACGACAGAAATTAGAGAAGGTGAGGATGGGGCCTCGTTTTTATTAATCAGGGCGTGGGTCGAATGATTTGAGAAACACTATTTACTGAGACTGCTTGCGATTTTAACACAAAGATATCGCATCTCGTATCTTCACCCGCACAGCGGTTCTGTTGCTGTTTCTTCCACAGAACAGGCGTCTAATCTTTAGATGAGATGAGCCTTTTCTGGTTGCTGGAACGTTAATGTGACTCTTGTCCAGTAGACAGATTATGACAGGTTTGCTAAGTTTGGTCAATAGCTTTGTCTGTTTTAGTTTAGTGTTATGCGTTACAGAGTTTGTGCGTCTTTGTTTCACTTATGTTAAAAGCCAAGATTCCCTGGCGCTGTTTTTCAAGCAATTTTCATCCTCTCACATATGGTCGTATCGAACGTCAAAAAGTTGTCGGCTGCTCTTAATCTGGTGTTTTGGTGTTGTAGGACTGTTCAGCGATGAGACCATTGTACATGTAGAAGGCGAAGTGAATCCGGTCGCTGACCTGGAGGTGATTTTCGATGAGTTGCGAATGAAAGACGTCCAGTTTATCGACAGTATTTTGGAAAAATTGGTGAAAACGGTGGTACGAGCCGGAGACAAAAGTCATAAGTTTGAATACGTAATAATTTTGACGATTGCTTACGATAAATCCCTGGCCAATTTTTCTTTACTTCTTCGCTTCAGGAAACGTTGCAGAAAGTGAAGAACGTTCTCATGGTCGAAAACCGTCACGTCCGTTTTGAAACTTGGTGCGAGAAAGAGGTATAACTTTTATGTTTGTTTCTCGCATTGAGAAGAACGACATTAAAATTTTTCGTTGAATGTGGAGTCCAAGATTAGTTGTATGTCTTCTCTAGTCCGCCTCCTAACGTCATCTGTACGGAGGTCAAGCCAAATGATACATGGTCATGGCCTATCTGTTGGTTTGTGCAAGTGATACCCCTCTTCTTGTCATTCAGATTAGAATTATATTTAGCGTAACCTTATAAAGAGATTCTTTATCAACACAAGAAGATTCATGGTCTGGATATTTATTCAATTGCTATTTTGTATTTTGCCATTTTCATGTTCATAATTCGTCCAAGGATTATGACACGCCGTCATGTTTGCCGTGGTAGCTACCGTCATATCGTACTTGCTCTTTTCATACCGTCCGTTGCTTAGTTTTTTCCTTCTCTCCATGGCACAGTCATCGGATTGACTGT